CCATTTCTTGCAAATCTATCCAATATTTGATAAATGAAGGACCAAGGGAAATGGTCCTTCTCAGTCCATGCATTCAATTTCTGGTAATCCACACACACTCTTTATCCGGTCACCGGCCTCATTGGAACAAACTCATTTTTCTCATTAGGGACCACAATCGTTCCTCCTTTCTTAGGCACACACTGAACATGTCATACCCAACTACTATCAGCGATCGGATATATGACTCCGACATCCAACCACTTAATAATATCCTTCTTCACTACCTCTTGCATATGTGGATTTAACCATCTTTGATGCTTTATACTTGGCTTATGATTGGGCATGAGTTGGATTTTGTGTGAATAAATACCGGGTGGAATCCCAATAATGTCCGGAATAGTCCAACCAATGGCTCGTTTGAACCTCTTCAACACCTCTACAAGACACTCCACTTGCTCCACATTTAAATCTGAAGCAATGATTACCGGCAAAGTGTCACCTTTTCCCAAGAAAACATACCTCAAATGAGGTGGTAGAAACTTAAGCTTCAATTTTGGGGCCTCCTCAATAGATGATTTCATGGGTGGAGACTCGCGATATTTCATATCTAAATCCAATTTCTTTGGTTTGAAGCAAACATCACCTCTATCAAGTGCCGCAACCAACGATCCATACTCTTCAATGCAATCACTCTCAAAATTCATAATCACTGCCGGTAAAGCCTCAACACCAAGACGCTATTCTATTTGTACCTCGGACGAACTCTTAACCTTGTAGGATATCACAGATACCAATTGGAGCTCACCACTCCGCCTCATGGACCTAGAAATGTTGAAAGTTGTTTCTTCATTGTTCAATAGAAACTTCATCTGCCCTTTCTCCAGTCAACTAAGGCACGACAGGTAGCAAGGAACAACCTCCCAATAATAATAGGCACCTCAAAGTCCACCTCACAACCAAGAATCACAAAATCAGCGGGAAAAATAAATGACTCCACTTTCACTAGCACATCTTAGAAAATCCCAATAGGCCTCTTCACCGTTCGATCGATCATCAATAGCTGCATCGCAGTGGGTTTTGGGTCACGCAAACCCAACTTCTTGTAAATGGAGAGAGACATGAGATTTATGCTTGTCCCAAGATCACATAATGCTTTAGCAAAGTGTAACAACCCGATTGTACATGGAATAGTGAAAGCGCTCAAATCTTCTTTCTTTTGCACAAGAGACCTTGTAGCAATAACACTACAATGTTGCATCGATCATCATCCTCAAAACTGACCGATCTTTTCTTAGTGACCATATCTTTCATTAACTTGGCGTAACCGAGCATTTGTTCAAGAGCTTCTATCAAAGGGACATTGATGGAAAGCTGTTTCAATATAGTAATAAAACACCAATATTTACCATCATCGGTCTTTTTCATCAATCTTTGTGAGAATGGAGGTGGTGGTCTAGGAATGGGAGTCACCTTTTGGGGTATCTCAGCTTCTTTATCCGATTTATCTATCGACTCACCACTAACTTCCTCTACCACATCATCTTTTCTTCTCCTCTCATATTCTACGCCAGATGGCATAGGTGGGTGAATGGTTTGCTTACCCCCTCGAGTGGTGATGCCATACAATGTCCATCATTTTTTGGATTATGGATGGTATTGCTAGGAAGAGTACCCGGTTGGCGTGGGTTGACAGTAGAAGACAATAGGTTCATTTACAACTCAAGATGCTTTATTGAGATTGTATGTCCATCCATCTTTTGGCCAATATTAGCTAAATAACCTCTCAACTTTTTGGCGTGCTTATCACTAGCATCAAACTTCATCATCATCTTCTGCAACATATCCTCAACTCGCGCCATACTACCTCCACCATCCCTAGAAGCAACTTCCCGATTTTGAGGTGGAACATAGGTCCCACTCCGATCATTTCTATTACCATAGTTACCCCAGTTGAAGTTGTTTTGGCGGTTATAGTTGCCATCTCGAACATAGTGACCCTCTCGGTTGTAATTCTCATAGTTCTGACCTTGATTTCCTTGACCTTGGTGCCGATTCTACTGATTGGAGCCTTGGGAATCCGGTCGGAAACCCCCCGTCTGCTCATTCACTACATAAGAGTCTTCCTCATAGTAAAATTCATCTACCGACGGTGGTGGCTTAGTCAATTAATTCATCGCATTCACTTTCTTTGCACCCCAGTGACATGTTTCAATACGAACCCAAGCTCAGTTATCATTTGAGCTATTTCTTCACGAATCTCATCTGCGTCTGTGTTGTGAGTAGCTTCCACTACAAAGGTGTTTCACCAAGTGTCTTCCTAGCGCTCCAAGACTTGTTTTTTTTGGGAAATTTTTTCCAATTTTTCCGCTATCTCTGCATAAATGCACTCACCATAAGAAACACCCTCAATAGTGTCGAATACCGCCTTATTGTTATCATCTTGCCCCCTATAGAAGTAATCTTTTAACAATTCATCATCAATGCGGTGGTTTGGGATACTTCTCAGAAATGAGGTGAACCTATCCTAAAAACTAGTTACCGACTCCCCAGGCATTGCCACAAAGTTGTTCACTCTATCTTTGTGGATAAGATATTTAGAAACCGTGTAATACCTTTCTAGGAACACATCTCTCAACTGCTCCCAAGTATAGATCGAATTATAAGGCAACTCAGTAAATCAAATTTTGGCCTTTCCCGTCAATGAGAGAGGGAATACCCTTAATCTAATGATATCCATGTCCAAGTCCGGCCTCCCTACACAACTCTTTCACACCGAACTCATTTTTGCTATGTGAGCATGTGGATCCTCAGATGGTAGCCCCGAAAACAAACCTCTAGCGGTGAGCATCTGCATCAAGCTACTACTTACCACAAATGAATGACCTTATGGTAGAGGAGTAAGGACAAGAGGTCCATCATCGACGATGTTAACATTGCCCCTATAATACTCTTGAGGGCGTGGGGCAGGAGGTTGTCTCCTCAAAGCGCCCTCATTAGGGTTTTACACGATCACTTGGTTATAAGCATCAATCGGTGGAGGAAGTTGATGGTTGATCCCATCACCAATATTATTAGGATTGTGTGGCTCGTTCATTCTGCAGAGTGTACGGTTCAATTCTGGATCAAATGGAAGCACTGTTTTGCCTCGACTCCATGTACTTGGCATACACTAAAGCTAGACCTCAATACACAAAAATAAAGAAAAAAGTAAAATTAGGAAATTAATGACTAAAATTCGTTAATTGCACTTAAAGTTAATCTAAAAGCCATGTTCCCCGACAGTGGCGCCAAAATTGTATACGCTCAAATTATACTTAGCTAGAGAAGTATAAGCGGTCGTATCAAGTAAAGAACCCAATTGTTAGGTTGGGGTCGATCCCACTTGGAAAATAGTTTAGACTTAACTTCAACCTATGATTACGTCTATTTAGTCAAGTCCTTTCCGAAAATAATTAATTAAGGGGGGGGGGTTGTGTAACAAAAATGTTTAATTATTTCTAAGTAAGGCAAATAGCAAGTTTATAACTTTGGTTTTTATCAAGTGATGAGAGAAACTAAGGCGTAAGTGTTCCCATAGGTTCATAACACGGTAATCCTAGCTATAACAATTCCTAGTGTCTTGCATGCAAAGTGGTAAGTTATGTATCCCTAATTCCTTGCTCCGGCAACTAGAGAATTTCACTCCGTACCTTGGTCCGACTACGTGTGTCTACTTTACTAAACCTTACCTTTATCTCATATTAAGCATCATATTCAATGTTTGGCTAAGTTACTACTTCGCACCAATTGAAACTAGCCTATTAGATAGTGTATACTAAATCTATGTTGATAATTCTTTTCCTATCAACTACTTCTTTGGACCCGCAAGTAGGAATAGGGCAAGTTCTAATGCGTGCACTCATTAAAAAGACTTCTAAACAAAAGAATTATCAATACATGCAAGAAACTATTCTAGAATTATTATTTAGATAGTTTTACTTTGTTAATTACCCATGGTTCCCACAACCCTAGTTTGTGGATTTAGTTACCCATGCAGAGAAATACACAATTCATGGTTGTTAAACATAAGAACTCATGTACTTGCTTTGACAAGTTTGAAGAAAATCCATAAATAAAACTTGAATTAATGAAAATATCTTGACAATCAATTCCGAAAACTTGAAGTAATTCCCAAAATCCAAAGTTCAACTTCCAATAGCAAGAGTATGAAAAAAAAAGACTAACCCCAAAAACGATGTTTTTAACCCTTTTTATAATAATGAAGTCCTAAAATAAAAGGAGTTCTAGAAAAGGAAAAATCTGTCCAAAACGCGTCTTCAATTGATGACCCAACTAATGGTCCGTCGATGGACAGATGGACCATCAACTGCCTCAGTCGGTCCACACCTAGAATCTTTTTCAGCCTCCACTTTTGCATCCTTTCCGTTACAATCGACGGACCAACATCACAGTCCGTCGTTGGACTTATGGTCCGTCGATGCCTCTGTTCCTCCATAGTGATTTCTTCATGTCGGGTACTAGGAGTACTTTCTGTTACAATCAACAGTTTGCCAAGACGGTCCGTCGATCAGTTGACAGACCATCGATCCTTCTGTAGCCCCACACTTAGTCAGAATTCCCTGATTTTATTTCAGCAGCTTGAACCTCCAGTCGACGATCACCACTACGGACCGTCGATAGGTCGACGCGCTGTCGATGGTTCCGTAGGTCATCATTTTGCACTGATTTCAACACATTTTTCTGCTTTTGCATTTTGGACAGTTTTCCTGTAAACACAGATAAAAATAAATTAGAGTTACTACAAAAAGGTCTTAGACAAACACTAAACTTAAGGAAAAAGCATTGAAAGTACCGTGAAATCACGGTACATCAGGAGACTAAGTTTGGACAAGAAATACTGATTTCAAAATCTAATTTTGGAAAGCGAGCAGGTCCTCTCGCTTATTATTGTTATCGCTCATCTTCTAGACATAATTATATGATTTAACTGTATCTCACAAGTTTCACTGACTTTACAGGAACAACAAATTAGGAAAGTTGTATATGGTGATGATATTGAGTATTATGCAGACAAGCTAAAATTGTTGAATACATATATAATCTTTACTGCCAAAGTCAAAGTTTCACTACCTTCGTATCGGAAGTATATTACATAAATTCTATTGGGTGTTTGATAAAGGAAACTCTGATCGAACATATCAAACCAAATAACCATCTTGAGAGACCGTTGTTACCACCGACCAAATTAGTTACCACAATATTTGCCAATATTGCTCAACTAACTCCTGCTCCTAATGCAGAAATTGGTATATTCCTTCAACTAACAATAAGGCCGTATAATTTATGCTTCCACATGTAATGAACTCATATTTTTGTATTCCTAGCAGATGTTGTAGGAGTTGTTCTTCATTGCGGCCCTTTGCAAAATGCAGGTCTCATTCAAAATAGGTGTCACGAGGTTACTATATTTGATGATCAGTAAGTACACCGTTCTGTTTGGTATTTATGTTTTCCAATTTTGACAAAATCTTATTGTAGTTTCAACAAAAAAGTGTATTCATGTATTCATCATGCTTTCAGAAAACACCAATTTCTGCTAACTTTATTGGGAAAATAGAAGGAGTTGAATTGAAATCTCAAATGGGAAAGCGTAAAGAATTCACTGTAATCCTTGCAAGGAACATTGGAATCTCTGGTTATGAAGGTATGCGTGACTACACTGTTTTTCTAAAAACTTGCTTTTCATACCAGACATCATTACACGATCATTTCTTATATACAGATTTATCCTTACAAAGGAGATTCAACTCCACGATACGCATAAATCCTACTTATCCGCATGCATTAAAATTGATCAGTTGGTATTGACTTCTTATTATACATCTTTAGCTTTGGATTGCCGTAGAAAAATATTTTACCATTTTTCCGTTTTCATAATAGGGCAACAACAAACAAAGACGTTCTTGTAGGAAATGTGTCGGGTAACTTTGCAGGATCATCCACTGCTCTAAACAAGAATCTTAATCACCAGCGAGTCATTTCTATTGCAGAACTTGCAAAAACAGCTTCAGTAAGTTTGAAAATATTTAGGTTAGCTAAAAAAATTAATTTTTAGAGTTAGATTTACATTTTTTGTTTCTCAATACAGGTTAGAGTTTTCCACATCGAGGCCGAAATATCAATATCAGCGAGTTATTTTTTATTAATATCCTTTTGCAAATGATTTAAAGGGACATAATATAAAGGAATAAAATTTTGTTTCTGAAAACATTATATCTTCTACAATAACTAAAGAAGCAAAATATGTTCACTTTAAAAGAAATATAATAGCAAATGAAGAAGATCTACTATTACAAACAATGTTGAATCCTGATCAGGGCATTTAATACAATACTTGATAGGGTATATTCAAATAAATCAGGTGTTTTTTCATTGATGGTCCAGGCGGAACTGGAAAAACATTTTTATATAAAGCTTTAATAGCAAATGTAATATCCAAAGGCTTTATAGCTTTAGCAAACAACAAGTTCTGGTGTTGCATCTTCAATTCTCCCTGGAGGTAAAACTACACCTTCAGGCTTTAAAATTTCAATTGATGTTGACAATAACTTTACTTGCAACATTAGTAAACAAAGCTCATTAACATCTCTACTTCAAGATTCAAAATTAATTATTTGGGATGAAGTCTCAATGGCCATAGATAAAATGATACAAGCTTTAGATACTATTTTAAAGGACCTTACTGGTGAACTAAATTTATTTGGTGGAAAAGTTGAATCTTTGGAGGTGAATTTAGACAAACATTGCCTGTTGTTCGCAATGGAAAAAGAGAAGACTTTGTATCTGAGAGCTTATTATTCCGATATATGGAATCAACTTGAAAAGTTGTGCTTATCCGAAAATATGAGCAAAAGAAGATTCTAATTTTTGTGAATATTTAATGCAAGTTTGGAAATGGACAAGAAATAACTGACAACAAAAAATTAAAATTTCACGTAAATTTATAATTCCTTATACAAATGAAATAGATTCCCTAAGTCAACTGTTCAGAGAAACTTATCCTGATATAAACATATTCTTTTCATACCCATCGTCTATAACATCCCGAGTTATTTTAACTACAAAAAATGACCTTGTTAACGAAATTAATGATATGCTTAAACATCAACTTCCTAAAGACGCTAAAATTTATACTGCAATTGGTGAAACTCTAGAACCAAGTGATTAATGTCAATTTGAGGATTTCTTACACACCTTAAATTCGACTAATTTGCCCCATACAAATTGACTTTAAAAAGAGACTGTCCGGTTATACTATTGCGAAGCTTAAATCCTTCAGAATGATTATGTAATGGAACACGATTAATATGTAATAATTTTAACAAGCATATTACAAGTGCTACTATTGCCAGCGGTGACTATAAAAATACACATGTATTTATTTTGAGAATACCATTATTAGCATCAGCAGATGAAAAATTACCTATTGCTTTTAAAGGAACACGGTTCCCAATTCGATTATGTTTTGCAATGACAACAAACAAATCTCAAGGTCAAACATTAGATTTCGTAAGAATCTATTTGCGCGAACCAGTTTTTTTCACATGGTCAACTTTATGTTGCTTTTTCCAGAACTAAAACTTTTAAAAATGTCAAAATACTAATATGTACGCCTACAATTGAACATACAAATGACCATTTCATGTATAATATAGTCTACAAAGAAATCATTCAAAAAGCATTGACCTAAATTCCTAAATAATCTATCCTTCATAAGCCAAATCTGTTGTTGCAAGCTCCATAGATCAAGAAATGCCTATGATATTCATGATTGGTGACACTTTTTTAATTAAATAGAGATTTTCTTAATGCAACTCATGCTAATATGTTTTGGGACTTTTAACCAATTGTTGATCAGCCCTTTATTTTTAATGTCTTGGTAAAATAGTGAATGCCACAATTTAGGTGATGCAAAGAGCTGCAGATGAGCCTGTTGATAAATTGTATACTTCGTCTATAATGACTGATGCCATTCTCCAGGTAAAATGACGCATCATTTCATTATGAGATTTTTCTTTATTTTGTTTTCTACCAATCTCTATATTGTTTCAGTTGCAAATGCACATTATGGCAATATAGATGTATGTCCACCTGCAAAACCTTTTTTCAATTTCAACCTCAAGATAACAATCTTATGGCTATAGGAATGGATGACCCCTCCATCCAAATATGTAATGTCCAAGTTCAATAGGTTGAACTATTCACACATTTATTTCATTCTTTGATTTTCAGAATATTATTAATTTAGTATTTTCTTTAAATGTGTTGACATCAACTATGATCCCTTTGTGTAGGTACAATGAGTGGACTTACTTTTTTGAATTCTATCAACATGCTTATATGTGAAAGTGGATAATCTCAAGTGAATTAATTTGATATAAATGTATTTCGACAGATACCTTACTGAATTGAAATATATAGTTATTGTGTTTTCGCTGAATTTTTGGTTTCATATTGTTGATAACAATTGCTTCCTTTGATAAATAATTTCAGCACTTTGACCTTTTATCTCCCACATTCTGTTGACTTCTCATTAAGCCAAAAGACACCAATCATATCTACACATAACGTAACCTACCTATGATACATAATGTTCATTGTATATTGCTTTATACAATGGGTGTCATTTAGGTGATGCAAGGCCAACAGCTGGAGAAGATCCTGTTGATAAATCTGAAATATATCGCAGTTGTGTTTTGACTGAATTTGTGGCTTCATATTGTCGATAATAGTTGTTTCTGTTTTGGCTGAATCTGAAATAATTTTGCATGATAGTGGTGATTCATGTCAATCCATTAGAAGGGTACTAAAGATTTTGCTAAATATACCAACTGTTTTAAGCCCTTATACTTTTCAAGCAGATCAGACGTTGAACATCACAACCCATAGGCTTTGAAGAAGATATCATACAATTCAATAGTTTGTTGACAAAATCCAACAAACAAGCAATGATGCAATTCGAACTCTGTAAGTCACTGGGCTATGCCATTGTGTATGTTCTTATGGTTACTATCAATTTTTTATCCTCCTTGAAAATACACTATGTTTTTTTGCAGGTATGTTGCAAATATTGTCGTTGTCAATGTTAATGTAGTGCTTTTGGTTAGTACATTAAGTGAGATTCTACAAACAATGCATCATTATCTTTTATAAGGAAATCTAAAATGTACTTCCATGTATAGGTGTAAAACTAGAGATTTTGTGAATTGTGATAATCTTGTGTGAGTTATAAGTTGTTATACAATTTCTACGTTTGCTAGCTGTTGTCTTGCTTTTTCATAGTTGTGTATACTTAGTTCCTTCTAATATATGTGTAAATATCATCAATGATGTAGTTAGACTAATGGAATGGTGCTTTGTCTCACTTTTGCAAGCTTTGCACTGGCCTCTTCGATTTTTGATGTAAGTAAGATTTTGATACTTATATTTGACACAAAATCAACTTTATATTCTCAAAAGCCTAAATAAACAGCTCTTATAAATTACTAGAATAATCTTCTGCTGCTGTATTTGACAACTCTGAGTTGGATGCTAAACAACTTTGATTTCTTCTCCCATAGGTAAGCACAAATCCTTCTCTTTCTCTCGTACTGAAACTTAATTTTTTATTTTATACGTTGTACCTTTGAAAATATTGATACAGCCTTGCAGATGACACTTGCTCAGCTTTGAAGGACTTTCAACGGAATCCTCAAAACAATATCTTGCAAATTATACTTCAAAGTGAAAAAACAAAAACTTCTGACAAAACATTAGAGCATATTGGCCACACGGTTCCTAATTTCATTACTCAGGTATTGTTATCTATAATATCCAAGAAACATGGACAGGAGCTTACATATATTCTCTTAGCTTTACTAAGACAATTATATTTTTTTCGTGTTTTCGATTATCAGCTAAATTCCAAGCTGACAGAGATACAAGGATTAGGATTAAATGATATGAGGGAAAATAGCGTCGGAAAAATTTGTGACCCCTTCTCCAGTGCACCTAATTACAACTTCACACCTGATCTCTGCCCAAAGGATATTATTCCAATTGAAGAACTAAAATATTTAAGTTACAAGCTTCAATTTACTCAACATGAATAAGGATCTTTATGTCTGAAAAGTTGGAGTTTGTTTTTTCTTATGTTTGCCTGTAGGTTCTGTCAAGAGTCAAATGTTATAAAGGAAATTCTTTAGGCAATTGCGCAGGTGAAGGAAGATTCATTCAACATGCCTGATATAAATATTCCCTGATTTACTGAGCCTAAGTGAGCGCTCCAAAGTACCAGTGCATGCCATTTAGACGTTCAGAACGAATACTGTGATCATCTATGTTGTCACTCTCCATTCTCATGGTACTTTTACTACTTAAATTGATAGTAAAAGCTCACCAAGAAACATGAAAAAGGTCGACACATGTTCCATTACTCCTGAAAAGTCAAAATAATACCAAATAACTTGCCCAATGGCAGTAATTATGCAGGCTTCCTATTCGCATAGACTTCTCTGTTTTTCTTGTATCGTGTGGTATGTGAAGCCTGCTGCAGCTCCTACACCTGGACAAATAACTGGCCAAGTCCACCCCCATCAATGTAGTAGCACTGTTGCTGGATGTGGAAGAGGTGATTAGAGACCACCAGGAATGAAAGATGGCTATGGTATGTTCTTCACACAAGTATGTTTCCCTAATTTATAACATACTCGAATTTACTATTTTTTCTGATTGGTCAGGATTGTTATTTACTGGTTAGTTAGAATTACACTAACCTTCGAAAAAATGTTGTGCTTTACCTTTGAAGTTAGTAGGCCTAATTTAAGAGACAAGTTGTCTTTAATATGTCATCTTCAATGCTTAGTTATTCAAGATTCGAGTTCATTTCAGATGTGAAAACAAGGCTAGACTAGTTGCATTCATCAAGAATTTTAAGTTATCTTCAGGAGTGATTTGTTTGTTAATTGAATTTCTTTTCTAACAATGTCTTCTTTTGTTCAAGTTGTGACTTTTTCCTCTTTGTAGATTATCAAACATCTTCGAAGATGTAAGACTGATTCCATAACAAATATTTGCTCAAAGTATGTCCAGGTAGAATACAGTATATTTTCTCACGTGGAAGGGCACTAGAACTTTTCATTAGTAAGGTATAGATCTGATAACATACTCTATTCTTTCTCTTCGTGTATTTCACAGATTCAACGGACCAGACAACTAATAGATTTGAAGTTCCTATGAATTAAAAAAACTCAAAAGCAAGGAGATGACGGATGAAATTGATCTCCAATAGAGCAGTATCCATGAAAATCAAAGAAACTGCTTACTCAAACCTCTTCTCAAGTTATATTATAGTAATCATTCTGTTATAGCATTATGTGCTTTGTAGGTAATGAATGGAGTATGTTGTCAAATTTAGTATGTTATCAAATTTAGTGTAAATATGTATTATTCTGAAGAGTTGATACTTGATACTTCCTGATGTATTGAATATTCAGAAGTTTATTATATATAATAAATTTCAAAAGTAGAAAATTTTTCTAATAACTTCTTGAGCGGCCTCTTTTATCGGTTGGAATTTGGATTTATAATTGAATGAATAATCTTTACTGACAGTTTAATTATTATTTATACAAAACAAATTTATAATGTTGGACCCATGCTAGCATGGGCCTACTCATGACGAAAATAATCCTAAAATTAGGTACTTATAATTATTAAAAATACCAAATAAAAATCGAAATAACAATAAACTTTATGTTTTCGACAAATTATCAATTGGAACTAATGATATTATTTATAAATCAACAAGCACATCATTTTTTGAACTAATGATATTTATATTAAACATAAAAGTATTTAGAAAGATGCAGCAATACAAAGACATGATTATAATTTACAGATGAAAATCTTTTGTTTACAAGATTCATTTCAGAGTTCATGTCGAATCACCTTCAAAATCGCTCTCCTGTCTATCTCTATGTAGATAAATCCACTGAAGCCTTCCCCTGTCATATTTTACACACGGATCGTCTTCATAGTGCATACGGTTCAACCCACCCTTTACAGCTTCGCTAAGTTGTGAATCGGAGATTTCCTCAACGATAAATTGTGAATCCCTTGCCAAAACACAAACGTCATCTCTAGTCCCAACACCTCCGGGCAATCTAGCAGCTGCATCTCTTACTAAACAGTGAAGAGAGAAATGAGTCGGTCTATTAGACTTAAGAATATCGTGATGACGAATCCTTTTTAATGGTTTGCCTCCACGCCTTTTTAGCGGAGCTACAATAGATTTATGACCGTCAACAGCTTAATATGAGAAAACCGTTGTAAACTTAAGATTTAGAAAGGTAGAAGATTTTGAAGATGATTCGACATAAAGTCTGAAATGAATTTTGTAAACTTAAGATTTAAAAGACTCAGCTATAATTTTTAATAATGTCTCTGTATTGCTGCATCTTTCTGGATATTTTTCAAAAAAATATGTGCTTGTTGATTTACTAATGCTTGTTTGTTCCTAAAATCAAAACTTAGAATTCACTAACTTCCTCAAATGGCCACTCACTCGGGTTGATACATGTTTTGATATGCTTTATTTGAGCTTAGTGGCTAATAGAAATTATATTTCTACCTTTAAAAAGTAGGGGTAAGCTGCATACACACTATTCCCATAGATCCTACTTCTGGGGTTTCACCGGGTATGTTGTATATATCTTTAACTAAAGTTGTATTAAAGATGTTTTGTTATAATAGGGAAAAATAGTGATCTATATAGCTTCCAAATATAGTAAATAAAAACATAAAAATCATCATATAAGTTCACACGAAAAATTAGATACATCAAGTCATGTAATTTGAATTTGACTTTCTTTTTTTTGGAGGGTAGAAGAAATATTTTGTGAAGAGATTAGATGACTAACTCAGAAAATTATTCAAAATAATAATTAATACACCTTTTTAGTGAGGAGATTAGATTGACAAATTTAGAAAATTATTAAAATCCATTTATCTCTTAATGAATATACCTTTTTAGTCCTTTTAGCTTCTATCTCCATAGTCTATAAATCAAACACACACTGTGTATCTGAAAAATACTTTTTTCTACACCAAAAACTTTGAGCAAACACTTCACACTTTAAAAAGATGACAAAAAACACATCTGATGACATGCCGGAAAAGGAAGTCAATCGTGCAGCAAAGATTCTAATGCAAATGGCCAAAACCAAAACATGCACGTCATTCAATCTTGGCGAAAGGTCAAAAGAATCAAGAGCTGTGAATAGTCTTGAAGTGATTCACCCCTGTAACGAGGAAATAAAAGCTTGTTTCCGTAAAGAAGAAGCTCTAAGATACACACAACCTGAAACGACTTTCTCATACACAGCTGTTGACGGTCATAAATCTATTGTAGCTCTGCTAAAAAGGTGGAGGCAAACCATTAAAAAGGATTCGTCATCATGATATTCTTAAGTCTAATAGACCGACTCATTTCTCTATTCACTATTTAGTAAGAGATGCAACTGCTAGATTGCCCCGAGGTGTTGGAACTAGAGATGACGTTTGTGTTTTGGCAAGGGATTCACATTTTATCATTGAGGAAATCTCCGATTCTCAACTTAGCAAAGCTGTAAAAGGAGGGTTGAACCGTCTGCACTATGAAGACGATCCGTGTGTAAAATATGACAGGGGAAGGCTTCAGTGGATTTATCTACATAGAGATAAGACATGGAAGCGATTTTGAAGGTGATTCGACATGAACTCTGAAGTGAATTTTGTAAACAAAATATTTTCAGCTCTAAATTATAATCATGTCTTTGTATTGCTGCATCTTTCTAAATATTTTAATGCTTAATATAAATATTATTAGTTCAATAAATGATGTGCTTGTTGGTTTATAACTAATATCATTAGTTAATTTGTCGAAAACATTAAAAACCACAGTATAAGTTCACAAAAAAATTAGATTTATTGATCAAGTCTTTTATTTTGAATTTTGAATGTATTTTTTTTGGAGGGAGGGAAGAAACAATATTTTTAATGATGAGATTAGATTTCATTTGACTAATTTAGGAGATTATTAAAATACATTTCACCTCTTAATTAATATTCCTTTTTAAGCCCTTTGAACTTCTATAAATCAAACACATTTTATATCTAATTTCAATACATATTCTTCCTCCTCCTTTTTACCTTCAAATAAACAAAACTCTCCCTTCTTCTTCCTACATTCATCTTCGGCGCATCGCTAAAATCAGACCATCCATTAACAAAGTTACTAGAGGTTAGATTTGTCTTCTTTTTTTTCCCAAGTTTTATCATGTGTTGAAGATGCTAATAATTCTTCATAAATGTAATTTAAGGATTCAGTATTTAGCCAGTCCATCTTAATTTTGTGTGTTCACTTTGATTAAGTAATTTTTGTTGTTTATCCCAAATATTTTTCTGCATTCAATCAACCATTTTGTTAATATATCATGGAAATCATTATTTGATTTAGCTGAAACATGTTAGTACCTATTTAATAAAATTTTCCTAATATATAAATACATGATATTTTACCTAAAAATAGCTAAAAACATTTACTTTGATCTCATTTCTTTTAAGACATTTTGTTTTGAATTGACTTATATTTTGTCTTTGTCAGGACTGAATTGAAGTATTTATTAAATTTCATAATTTTTTCAGTTCTACTTAATGTTAGTATCTATCTATTTAATAAAATTTTCTTGATTTATAAATACATGATATTTTACATAAAAATATCTAAAAACATTTACTTCGATCTCATCTATCTCAATATATTTTGTTTCTAATTGACTGATATTTTGTCTTTATCAGGATTGAATCAAAGTCTTTATTAAATTTCATCATTTTTTTCAACTCTACTTAAATGTTTCTATTAGTACTCCAAAATATTTGTTTTTACACCAAATCTCGGTCAAACACATATTTATAACAAATTAAATATTTTCTTTTATAATAAATACCTTTCAGAAGGTTGGTCAAACATGCTTTACTGTTCGCTCACTTGTTCTTGAGTTCTCAAGTACATTGGTATATTTCTTTATATTTTTTCTAATTTTCAATTTTACATTTCTTTATTTTATTAGGAATATATAGAAAAATAATGGCAAAAAGCACATCTGATGATATGCCGGACAACGAAGCCAATCGGGTTGCAAAGATTCTATTGGAAATTAAAAGCAACAAATCAACCAATCTTGGCGAAAGGTCAGTGGAATCACGAGCTATCAATAGTCCTGAAACGATTTACCCCTGTAGCGAGGAAATAAGAGCTTGTTTCCGCATAGAAGAAGCTCTAAGGTACGCACAACCTAACAAGGCTTTCTCATATATAGCTGTAAATGGTAAGAAGGTTGTTGTCGCTCCACTGAAAAAGCGTGGAGGCAAACTATTCAAAAGGATTTGTCATTACGATATTCTTAAGAGCAATAAACCAACTTTTTTCACTCTCCATTGTTTGGTAAGAGATGCCGCAACTAGATTGCTAGGAGGAGTTGGGACTAGAGACGAGGTTTGTGTTTTGGCCAGGGACTCACAATTCATCGTTGAGGACATCTCCGATTCACAACTTCGCAAAGCTGTAAAGGGAGGGTTGGACCGTCTGCACTATGAAGACGATCCGTGTGTGAAATATGAGAAGGAAAGGCATCAGTGGACTTATCTACATGGAGATAGAAAGGTAGAAGATTTTGAAGATGGGTCGACATAAAGTCTGAAATGAATTTTGTAAACTTAAGATTTAAAAGACTTTCAGCTGTAATTTTTAATAATGTCTCTGTATTGCTGCATCTTTCTGAATATTTTATGTTCAAAAAAATATGTGCTTGTTGATTTACTAACGCTTGTTTGTTCCTAAAATCAAAACTTGAGAATTCACTAACTTCCTCAAATGGCCACTCACTCAGGTTGATACATGTTTTGATATGCTTTATTTGAGCTTAGTGGCTAATAGAAATTATATTTCTACCTTCAAAAAGTAGGGGTAAGCTGCATACACACTGTTCCTCTAGATCCTACTTCTGGGGTTTCACCGGGTATGTTGTTGTTGTCCAATCATGTCAGGTTTTTGGTGCAAGAAGGTGGTTTTTTTCGATTGGAGATTTTTTTTGTAGGAGATAAGATTTAAGGTGATTGACTTTATTGATGTAAAGATGAGATAAATGGCTTTACTACACAATTTTAGTAACATGAGTGACGATTTGAGAAATTTATCCCTTGGCCGGTGAATTTTTGTTTTTAGCTATTTTTTGATGTTTCACAAGTCCTTTACCATTATATAAGAACTAGTTGAATCAAGTTCGGAAGTACAAAGCACTAGTTGTCCTGGTTCATGAAGAACAGGACAATGGGATCATGCTGGACTAGTACATCTGTGCAAAACTTGTATACTTTTTGTCAGATTCTTAGTTTTTGCCAAGCAGCTATCGGAAC